GTAGATTTAAATGCTGTTTTCTCTATAGAAGAGGCATATTGTGTTTTCTAGTATTCCTTAGTCTCTGTCCAATCCTTTTCTTGTAAGAACACATTATAGTCCCTGATTTTCTGATTATGGAAAATAAAATTATCTTTTAATGATTTCTTTTATTCCAGAGATCCTCAAGGGGAGAGGGTATTCATTCCCTGTGCTTTTGCATATTTCTAGTGCTACTAAATATCTGATTTTCTGAAACGTTATTCTCAAATGAGAAGTAGAACATATAAGTTGTTGATTTTGGGGTTGAGGTCAGGATGGAGTCAGGCATAGCTCAAGTGCTGGAAAAAGAAGAGGGCCTGGCTAATGCTGCAGGTTATATTAACAGCTACTCATTTGTGTAGGCCTTCCTATGTATTTTTGTCTGCCTTGTAATTTAGGAGTTCCTTGGGGGTAGGAAAACTGTGTCCATCCATCTGTTTATACAAGCATTCTCATTAGTATTTGAACACTCATCCACTCAAATGCTGCCTGATCCCTATCTCTTCCCTTTGGAGTGGAGTTGAGGGGGGTTGGCTGGCAACATGTGCAGTTCTCAAGGTGGTGCAGCAGCTGCTCTTTGTACACTGCCTCCCAGAGCTCTTGCTAAGTAGTATTTACTGTGAACCCAGAGCAGACGAGTTTTTTTAGTGTACAGCTGTCACTGTGGCACTATATATTCATGCAGTGTACAGATCTGCTCACAACAGAGTGTAGTAAGAATTCCAAGAATTCTCTGTAGTGTGTAGAAAGTTATGTGTGATACTTCCAGCCTGCCAACTTGCTTTAAGCTGGAGATGCTGGAGTCAGATGTCTGTCTTGTAGGAAATTTGTGAGGGCTGGAAATTCACATCTTTGAAGCAGCACATATTCCTCTGCTTTTCTGAGAGAGGTGAAATGTTTGGCTTTTCAAGATGGCATCTGTGCTTGGACTTGAGGCACTAAAGAACTACTATTAAAATTACATCTGTTGGTGGTACCCTGGATTGGATTTTGTAAATCAATTGACAGAAATAGCTGTACCCTGAAACTCTGATGAACTTCTCACTGTAGCATTAAATAAAGGCATTTGCAGCACCTAGCAACTGGAAGCTGTGTTATAATCCAGAGCAAGTGAGTTAAGACTATTACAAGGTTTTCTGAAATCATTCTGTCTAGAACTTGCCCAGAGATTTAGGGGAAAAAAAAGATCGGTGGTCAAATTGAAAAATGCATATTTATCCTTGACAGTAATAAATTTCTCTAAATCTGTTACTTCTGTTAATAGAAGAGAGGCTGAGATAAGAGCAAAGTAGAATTTGCTGTGTAGGCAGATCTGGATTTCCAGTCTAATTATAAGGTTTAATTAGCATTTGTCCTTCAAAAATATTTTCAAAAAAATATTTTAAAATAGAAAATAGTTACCGAAGATTTTAGAAAGACACAGCTCTTTTCTGTTTGTGACTATATTTAGTAAATGCTTTAGTAGATCAGAGATGAATTTTCAAAGGAAAATACCAACAGATAAAAGATAAACTCTTTGCATTCCATTCCTTTCAGTTGGATATTTAGAAATGGGAACAAGATAGTCTTGAATGTGCCTTGACACTTCAGATCTGTCTGCCCTGTATCTCCATCTGTACTCTATTATTTTGTTTGCAACAATTACTGACTGTTCTCGATGTCTGCTGGAAATGCATGCTGTGGCTTGACTTGGAATTCTCACAGAGATGTCTCTTGGGTTCTCAAATACTAAAATACATGTAGTTTTGTACTTTGATTTTCACATTTCGTACAGATTATGCATCTGGTCTTTAATAATGCCTTCTATATAAAAATCTACAGGATCAAATAATCTAGTGTGCTTTTAGCCAGTGGGAAGACCATGAGAAGTAATTCTTTCCTGATATTTGTCTGAATTGTGGGTACAATAAATTAGATCAATCTTTTTTACTTGGAAGTCTTGCTGCCTGTGAAGTAAGGATAAGCTGAGTTTTAGAGGTAAAGTGACATCAGTGGAGTGCTGTCCCCTGACAGGGAATTGGAAAAAAAACAATTATATTAAAAAATCCCAACCAGAATTTGCTACCCTTATACCTAGTTGAAGAAGTCGAATCCCTTTCATTTCCTTTTTAAGTAATAATTGGCTGATCCATGATTGACTGTTTCCTTGTCTTTCACAGTATGGTTCTCCTGGAGCTCTTTGCCTCAGAAAAAGTGTTGCAAAGTAAGAAAGTCACGTAAATCACAAATTCAGAGTTACTGAGAACTTTTTGTTTGAGAGAGTCTTTTGATGAATGTTTTTGTCATTTAGGTTGTGTTTTCTAAAAGTTTTAGGCAGAAAATATTCCATTCGGAGAAGTGACATTAGGTCACTCGTTACAACTATCTCGTCCTTCTAAATTGACTCTAATTCTAGGAGGATTGGATTTGCTGTGTCTTTATTTTAAGGCACAGCAATTACATGTGAGGCTACTAAAAGCAGAAGTCAGAGAAAGTGAGAGGGGAGCCAGTGAGTTAGAGCTGTGTTAAACTAGCCCCAGATCTAGAGTGCATTATCCTGGCTGTGGAAGATCTGCTTCTCTGGGCTTACTTTGTTTGAGGCATCACTGAGCAATAGAAGGAGAGATAGATGTGTTGAGTAAGAATACCCACATTAGGGCAGACATTTGACTTTCAGGAACTGGGTTGATGTTCAAAAACTAGTCTTTGTTTTTGACAAGAAAAAGTTGTATGTTGGGGAGAGTATCCCAGAATTTGGAGCCAGCATCGCACAGTTAATATTCTGTGGCAAGAACTTGTATATTTCATGAGGAGGTTAAAAGTGGTGTCTTAGAAAAGTGATGTGTGAAGATCATTTATTTTAAGAAGGATAATTTGAAAAAGACTGAAGTGTCCTACTTGGTGAATTTAAGCTTACTGACTCATTTGTCTGAGTTTGGCTTTGGTTTGCTTTTTGCCCTTTCTTTTCTATTCTTTTATTCTATTAGAGATTTTGTTTCTTGATATGTTTGTAGGACTGAGCAGGGAAGGATCTTTGAGTAACTATACAAATACATGTGGGTGTACAAATAATCCATATTCTTTATGGGCTTCTGGATTCTGTGTACTTGGCACAATGCAAGTCAATTAAATGTATAGAAGCTAATGTTTGTAAAACAGGTTAGGAAAACTATGTTGTAATATAAATTTTTGTTGTTGAGTTTTTTGGTTTGGTTTGTTTTTTTCTTGTGAGGGTTCATTAGACTGCAGAATAAAACTATCTTTGAAGCTACCACAAAATATTTCCCCATCTCTAGATTCCTTAACATCAGGAAAATATATGGGGGAACAGTACTGCCATTATCAGTCAACTCTGCTTGCATGAGAACGTTTTATCTGTGGCTGTCCTTCACTCAGAAAAAATGCAGAAGCCATTACTTCTATCTCAAATGAAAAGGTATTAAAACTTTTCCTGTCAAATCAGTTCTGGGAACTTCTTATAGTGCTTAATTCCAAAGTAATCTTTACAGTGCTTAATTCCAAATTAATCTTTACTTTTAAGTAGTCTGACTATCCAGGGTGCTGTGTGTTCTAGCACTCTGATACTAGAGCTAGTGTTCTAGTAAACTGACACCTCCCATTGTCAGACTATGCTGTCAATTGGACTTCTGGCCTCAATACTGAGCACCTTTAACAGCGTGTTAAGAAAGGACTTTTCTCATTTTTGTGTTTATTTGCCCTTGCCAGTAAAGTGCATGAATAAACAGTCTAGGGAATTGATTTGGAAGGAAAATTTATTTTTTTTTTTAGTATGTATAAATTTATAGGTGTTTTGAGGTTGTATTAAGGAAGGCAAGTTAAGGAATTTCACTTAACACTTAGAAGTGTTTGAATTTGTGTTGAGTTTTGGTTTCCCTAGAAATTTAACTTCATGGTTTCAGCCTGGCTGAATTCACAGGGGACTTTTGGCTCATAATCAAACACATCTTGCTTTTGTATTCACTCTACTAAAAGCACAGAATTTTTGAATACAGCCTTCGTTGTAGTATTTTAGATTATCTTTGGGGTTTTTAGTGAGGAATGTAAGGAAGTGAGTCTCTAAGAGCAAAGACCTATAGCTTATATCATGCTCTTTATGTACTGGGTGCTGAAAGCAGAGGACAGCTCTGGTGTGTTCATAAAAATTTGTCTGATGGTATGTGAATGCTTTTCTTGTTTACTACTGTACTGGTGTCATCCATATGGAAGCTGAGAAGGCTGTAAAATTGAGATCAGGGTGCTGTGCATTCAGAGAAGATGCCTTTCACAAGCTAACTGGAGCTAACAAAATGTATTGCCACAGTGAACAAACAGAACTTCTGAACTGTTGTTGGGTTTGTGGTTGCAGCACAGTGGCTTCTTGTTTCTGAGAGTGCTGGTCTTTGGAGTGTGAGGTCCAACAGCTTGGTGAGATGGGTACATAGCAATCTGTGTTGGTGATGGAGCTGCAGTTGTATATGGGTAAGGTTAAGCATTTCTTCTAAAGCTTGCTATAAAAGAAACAAAGTGTGCCTGAGGCCACTCACACACATTCATTTTCCTCAATAAAATGGATTAATTTGGGGAAAATGGCTTTTAGGAGGAAAACTACAATAAAATCATGCAGTGGACCGTGGTTCATTAGTTTTCTGCTTCTGAGTAATGTCTATATACTGCTGCTATATAGAAATAATTATCCCCTTGAGATGGTGATAATAGGTGGTAAGGGAACCACTACATTGGGCTTAACCTCTCAAAATGGAAGTAACAACAAGTAGATGGTGTCGTGGACCTTTGCAGAAGCGTGAGTTAACTTTGATTTGTTTAATTTCCATAAATTTTGATTTTTCACCCACACAGTAATGGATGCAACTATTGTTGTATCTACTGGTGTATATTTTCCTGTATCTATTCTGTAGCATAATTCTGGGCAAGTTCTTCAACTGTTTTGGATACAGAATGACTTATCAGAATAAGACTTTCTTTTGTCTTTTCCCACACAGATCACCCCTGGCAGCAAGGCAGCACAGTCACAGATGAACCAGGGGGACCTTGTCGTGGCCATTGATGGAGTCAACACTGACAGCATGACCCACCTGGAGGCCCAGAACAAGATCAAATCAGCCAGCCACAACCTGAGCCTCACTCTGCAGAAGTATGTTGGTATAACTTAAACCCTTTGCATTTCCATGAAACTTGTGACTGAAGGTTGCAAGTGTTTTATCCCTGTCTGCTAGATTTATTTGAAGTTCTCATGGCACAGATATGAGATGAAAAGCCAAAATCTGCTCTGATTCTTGTAGAAGTCAGCATGGATTCCTATAGAAATCAAACGGTTATGTTGAGTGTATCTGTGTGGGATTTAGCCTATTGAAACAGGTGTAATCTCATGTCCATTCAAGCTTCTGTTAAATGAATCCAACAGTGATGTTCCTTTTGGTTTTTCTCATGTAAGCAACACAGTTTAGTTTAGCTAATTTATTAACAACTGTTCTAGAGACAACAATCAGAACAAGTGTTACGAGTGCTTGGGAGGAACTTCATGAGAATTTATGCTAATGGTCTGACACCTGAGTTTGAAAGTCTACTCTGCATCTGACTGAATGAAGAAAAGTGTAGCCCAAGTGCAAGAAAGGGAGGCAGTAGAACATGGAGAGGACAGATTTTTATCAGAGATGTGATAAAAGTTGCCATTAAGAAAGCAGTTAATAGGACTTTTAACTTCTGCTGGTTAATATTGCTTCCACGGAAACTTGTTCTCAAATTAGATAACCTTGCACAGAGGATTTCTGTAATAAATGCATTAATATTTAAAGCTCCATAATTATAGAAAGAGAAGTAGCTGCTAATTTTATTGCATTGTGAAGAAGATAATTTTTGTACAGGGTAGGCAAAGAGAAGTACAGAAAGTAGACTGTAATGTGGAAGTAAAATTTCTGAGAATATACCAAAGAATCTCATACATGAATATGCAGTGGATATAAGCTATTAGTCTGTTCCTGATATTGATTAAGGACTTTAGATGAAGTTTCCAAGACAGGGCAGGGTACTAAAAAGTAAAATGTGTGGCTGATTTTCCCCCATGACTTTGCCTTTAAATATTCCAGGTAGAGTAGAAAAATCACTACCTTGATGCATGTAGTTGAATTCTCATTCTATCACCCACTCCAGCGCCTTCTTTCATCACTCTGAGTGACAGTGTCATTACAAATATATGTATGATATCTTTTTTTACAGAGATTTAGATTGTTCTGAGTACTTTTTTATTTGAAAGTTAAGAAAAATCCTTTCTGATTGTTTTAGAATGTCTGTCTGCTTTTCTGTTGAACCTTTGTGGTTTTGCATTGAGAGAGAACATTTCTTATTGTGCTTTGGGTTATTATACATTTGGTATTAATTTTCCAGAATATTGCACCTGAAAAGTTCTCCAGTGTCTGCCTCTATGGCCTGGCATAAATGGTTTAAAACTACAAACCAACAGTTCTTCTTATTCACAGAAGAAGGATTTCCAAATTCGTGATCAACAAATCCAGATTATCCTAATACATATCACAGAGATAAGTCACTTAAAACATGAATTTTGATCAGGTGTTGCCAGGGATATTTGATTTGAGTAATCATTGTGCTTTTTTATTTGCTGACCTCTAAATTATGACACCAGCAATTCTAGCAGCCACATAATTTAAAAAAATAAAATCCTAGTGGAATTACCTTTATTAATTGCTTTCATCTCTATTTACCATTTCTTCTATTTTTTTATGGCCTTTCCTATCTTTTGGTTCCGAAACAATAATATATAATTCAGGTACTCGAGTTACATGGCTAAAGAACAATGAAAGAAAGCAGTAATGGAGTGTTCTACTGACTGAAAAAAAGCTTGCATAGATAATAGATGCAGATGAACTATGACCCATTTTGAAAAGAAGGAAAATGGCATGAAGTAGAATGAAATACTAGTAAACAAAAATAGTTCATAAACTAGCTTTTTTTAGCAAATGAAAACTTCCTCAGATCATGTTTTTGTTCTGAACTTATATAATTAATGGACTCTCCTCTTCAGCTGCTTTATGATGTGAGCTATTAGTTTGCCTTGGTGACCCGCTCAGCCTCATTGAGAAGACTGAAAAGACTGAAGAATAATTTTTTAAAATATTTTTTTTCTTAGGTGACATGAGGCTATTCAAAAACTTGTACTCAAGAGGCATTAAGCTAGCTTTGCTTTGCACAATTCAGAGTTTATAAAGCTAAACCCTAGCAGCAGGTGATATTGGCCAGCTAATGCATGTGTAGAACCCTATTAAAGATCAAATGTCTTGAATAGTAGGCATCTCCACTATATTCAGGAAGTTATATTAATCTTGCCTTAAAAAATATTTTTTCCCTGGACCCCAATGGGTTAATTTACCTAAGGACAGAAAGATTGTCAGTTCAGTCACCTGCCCAAAATTTACAATGCAATATCCTTTTTTCAGCAAAAAATTTTACAACTATTGGTTTGGTGAAAAGAATAACAGTTAACATGAAAAGAAGGTAGCAGTGACAAGGAATAGTAACTTTCAACCAAATAAGAAGACAGAAGAGAGACAAAATCTCCTGGGACGTGGTTACCAGGAAAATGACTGTGCTAAGAGATCACTTTGACTTTTTTTAGATGTGGCTTGCAGCAGTGAAACTGGAGCGGAGTGTTCCACTACTATGGAAAAACAGCCCTAGTTGCCATAAAGAGCACAGAGATGGAAGTACTCACTTATCCTATTTGTGTAAAAGTTTGGAAGGATTGGACATCCTTTCCAATGGAAAAGGCACACATGTGCATTAGGAGATTGAGTATTGTGATAGGAAAACTTAAGCCCTAAATTGTGATGATATAGGACATGTATGTGAAGTACTCACATGGCTCTACAGAATATGTTTCAAGGTCATGGAATGCCTCACCAGAAAAATCTGTGGCTTGCTTTTGCTGTTGCAGCACTGGAATAGAACTGATCTTCCTTGTTTAATCTGTAAGGCCATGGAAGAAGCAGTGGAATGTGAAATCTCAACATAAATGTTCTGAGATAGAAAGCTTTTTATTTTTCTAATGGTTCTTGGCTCTCAAGAGCGATGGCCTTTCCCTTTATTGATCGTGGCTGTGAAGGTTTCATGAGCATTGTTTATAACCTGACAGTTAAGACAGTGTTTGCTGCTACTCACTTTTATTATAACACTTCCTTCCCTGTGAGCTTTTTTCAGGGTGGGGAACAGGTTATTATTTTAATTTGGCTGTCAAGAAAAGCTGTACATGGTGTCAGCACTTGTGCAGGACATCCAACTGCAAGGCATCAATCATAGAAAAAAGGGAAGTATTAAGAGCCCCCATTCATTGCCTGCCTAAACAGTAGGATTCTGTGATTTCCAATATTAATTTAGTTTTAATTTAAGTAGCACCTGCACTGTTCAAGGCACGCTAACATGGATCTTCCAGGAATGTTCAGTGATGGCCTGAGTGGAGCTCTCCATATTTCAGCCATGGGTTCAGAAATTTGTGGATGTCAAGTGTTTTCTGACAACTTCCTTCCCTAAACTCCCTCTTTTGTTTGTTCTTATCACCTCACCCATGCTACATTTTCACATAAACCCACAAAATTAGACTGGAAGCTATGCCAGAGGTTTGATCAGGCAGCCAGAACTTGTTAGTGGCTTGAGCTGCTTTGTCTGGCTGCTTATTTCTCTAGACCCTGCAGCGTGCCTCCCTTTGCTGCTTCTGGGAAGCTAAAAGATGCAGATGGGCAAGTGCCAGGAAGTTGAAGTATTTGGACTGTGCCTGGAGAAAGGTACCCCTGTGATCCAGTGATGTGGGAATATCTGGGACCCTTCAGACTAGCACTGCTTCCTTCAGTTTAGAGGACCAAGTGCATCTAAGAGATGAATTCTTTTTTGCTGAAGAAAAGAGTGGGAGTGAGAGGAGTAGGAAAGAACTGTCTTTGGCACTGTGTAGTATTACTCAGCAGAACTCCCATGAGGCACTCAGGCAAACCAGGCTGATATTCTAAAAAGTTACATACCTCTGTAGATGCAGTTTATTCCTTAGAAACCTGCATTGCTCTAGTGTACTGAGGGGGGGATTGGTGCTGATTCTGCTGGACTGTGTTTTGAAAGGCTGTGATCATACTCTATAATGGCCTGGGTTGGGGTGGAAAAAGACATTGGTTTGCTTTTAGTCTTTTTGTGACCTCCTGGAGTTCAGTTCTCAGTCATTTTTCAGTATCAGTTTCTAATCAGTTACTTGAGCTACACAGCTGCCCTCAGGCATTTTAATTCTAGGCCAAAGTTCGTCTTTAACTGTCTGTCTGTCCCACAGATATTAGGCCATAAACATTGGGTTGTGCCGTATTCAGTTCACAGTGAAAAACAAAATGCATGCAAAGTCTATTGTATATGGGTTTCTTTTTTACATACAAATGGGTTTCTTTTTTAAAAGCACAGCAAATGCAAAAAGAGAGCAGCATATTTGTCAACATGTTTCACTGGAGCATCCACAACATTCATTTGATCTTAACTCAAGTAATATGATCAGCTTCCTTGGAAAGGATTCACCAAATGTACTGGCTTAGTTTTGGAAAGTGCTGTAACATGAGTGTGCCTCATTCTGCTGGCACAAACATTCCTGTGTCACTCTAAGGCTCCGCTTTGGCGTCACTGTGCTGCTGGAGAGGAGCAGGGGAGGTGGAGACTTCTGTGCCTGGTGCACATTGACAAAACTTCCCCCTCCCAGGGCACGCCAGTGATGCTACCCTTTGCTTCCAGACAGTCACCATTGGCTGTCTTTTGCTGGAAAATCATGAGCTAAATAATTCTTTTCTCTATTGAAAGGGAAAGTGTCAGGGGCGAGGCTATGAGAGACTTATGGTCAATATTTAATGGCTTTCCTTTTTTGTGCAGCACCAAAAGTTGGCTGATCCTACAGTATTTATTTCAGGCCTATTATAAATAAAGCATGTGGTGACAGCAAACTGCAAGCAAGGGGAACTCGGTGGTTATTGTAAACTGCTCTCTTTTGTCTGATGCTGGGTGTAATAACCAATTCTGTGCATGTTTTAAGTCTGCTGATGGGCCCATTTAAATCAGAACCAGAATAGGGCTGCATTTACACTCAGAAGAATTAAATTATATCTG